TTTTTTTGAGAGGGCATCTCACTACGTAGTCCAGGCTGGATTCAAACTCTCAGCCTCCTCCTTCAGCGTCTTGAGTGCTGGGATTAAGGGTTTGTAAGAAGCTTCTATCTGCAGCACTGAGTCGAGGCCATGGCTGGACTGGGGTCAGCATCCCAGAAGGGGTGGGGTAAAGGACCTTTTGTTTAAATCTCCAGATAAGCAAGGCGTACCATAGGGAAAGGGTTAGGAGGAGCTTTGGGGTAAATTAGGACTGGGAGACTCCATCTGCCAGCTCCTCGTCCCTCGCAGGCCCATTCACTGCACTGTGTGGCCCCAGGGAAGCACCTCTTCCAGGAGTACCTAGGGCTCTCTTCCATCCCCAGCCCCCAAGGATCCCTGTAATATAGGGAAAGTAAATGTAACTCCCAATCTGCTAGACCTCAGATATGCTGAGTTCATGTTCCCCAAACTGAAGAATGAATTCAGAGGAACAGAGGTTGAACAGGAAACTTTATGAGGGAGAAACAGCGCCTGAGATCCGGGGATTGAACTCAGGCCCTTGCGCTTGCCAGGGAAGCGCTTATTCCACTGAGCCATCTCCCTGGCTCTGACCCTGTCTTATACATTTTTTTTTATTTTTATTTTTTATTTATTTGAGAGAGAGAGAGAGAGAGAGTGGTGTGTGTGTGGCCAGCTCAGCACACCAGGGGGCGGGGCTGGCTGGCATGTGGTGCTGGGGGATTGAACCACAGTCCCTGATGCCTTGCCAAGCTTGTTCTAAGTAGGTGCTTTAGACCACTGAGCCATCTCTCCAGCCCCGACCCTGTCTTAAAAAGACAAAAAAAAAAAAAAAAAAAAAAATTACAAGTGGCTTAGACAATATTGATCCAATGGGGAAGCAAGTCATGTACCAAGTGTACATGGATGACATCGTTGGTCAATAATCTATAGTCTTAGTGTCCTCTTTGGTCTGTGTGTGTGTGTGTTGCTTGGGATTAAACATAGGGCATTGTGCATGCAAGGCAAGAACTCTATCACTGAGCTACATCGCTAGCCAGTCTTAAAGTCTTGACAGTCTTAGTCTTAATGGGTGGGAGAGGATGGCCTACCCCTAAGGAGTAATGATTTATTTATACAGGCAATCTCAAAAGGATGGTACCAACACTGTCAAACTAGCATTTGTCTATCCCTTAGGAAAGTATGTAAATCTGGCCATTGTGACTTTAATCTTCAGATGTGCCACAGTTTTGATACTTTCTGCACTAACTCCCTCAGTGGCCTAGCCCAGTCTGACTGCGATGATATTTCTACCTAATTTATCTGTCTGTGATATTCCCCCTTCTGAAGAGGCACCTCTAACTGCAGTGAGGGAGCAAGGGGCAAAGACCTATCTGCCTACTTCCAGATGAAGAGGTTGTGGTTATCTGCAGCCAGAAACACATCACAGTGGGTCTACCCGAAGGCCCTCAGTAGATAGCAGGCATTCTTGTCTTGGGTAAGCATATAGTTTTAAATCTGGAGGAGACAAGGCCAAAGAAACAGGTATGCATGGGCCAAAAACTAAAATTGATAAGACTATTTATGAGGCCAGGTGTGGTGGCACATGCCTGTAAACCCTGTAACTTGGGGAGGAGGATCACTTGAGTTTGAGACCAGCCTGGGCTACAAAGTGAGTTCCGGCCAGCCGGAACTGCATAGCTAAACCAGCTAAACCCTGTCTCAAAAAAACAAACAAACAAACAAACAAACAAACATAAATATAACCAACAGGCTGGGGAGATAGCTGAGTAGCAAAAGTGCCTACCTGGAAAGTGCAAGGTCCTGAGTTTGAGCCCTAATACCAAAATACATACATACATACATACATACATACATAAATACAACTAACAAATATTTCCACCAGAAGTGCCAGTAATAGCCTCCATGAAAAAAATCCATGGACTTTCAGAATCTGACATGGCATTAACTTATTGTTTAATATGTTGAATAGCTATTGAGATATTAGCAGAAGGATCAGGAATTTACAGGCAACACTCAGCTTTTATAGTTGCACAAGTACCCCCTTGGGCTACTG